TCCCCTGCATTTTTTTAACATTGCATGGGTACCATTCCAAAAATTCTCTTTGTCCATCTGTTGTCTTTTACTCTTATAACACATGACCAGCCCACTTCGTTTTCCTACCGGATCTTGTTTTGATAGCATTCGTAGGCGGGTCCAGGGCAGTTTTGCGGGGGAGTGAGGGAGGGGGAAGGGGGTGATCTGGGTGATTTTCCCCTTCCCGCTCCCCCTGTGCCAATGATAGCATTACTCTTGATCGCCAATGATAGCATTACTCTTGTTGTTTATACAGAATAAAAAAGTCAGCTGCTTTAAAAACTGTACTTGATTTGTTACAGTGATCAGTTGCTTTTCAGCTGATCTTTCACATCTGTCAGCTGGCAACCTTCTCCTATTAAATATCAAAAGTTGTTTGACATATTAGTTTTTTAAAATATCAAAAGTTATATTGGTCATTATACCTTGAATACCTTGAATACCTTGAACAGCTGTTGTTTCATCGATGTCTGATGTCACGCCATCGATGCAGCTGGCAACTTGGTCATTATATTAAATAAAAATCCTGCCATTAGAAAATAATAGAGTTTCTTCTTCCAGATGGCATGCTTCCCTATTGGACGGCAGGCAAATTATCGAGTAGCGCCGGAACCTTATTTGCAAAACTGCGTTCACGGTTCAACGATCTTCTGGGACGGCGAATTACAAAGGTTGTTTCATTTGTTCTCAAAAAATTCATGTTCAGGAAAACGAACACTCAAACAGCTTCCAGAGCGATGACACACATTCATGATGCATTGCCTCCAAGTGCTTTTGTCCCTCAAAAAGATCGAATTCGAAGGGAGTTTTGACTTCAGACCAGAAAGCCGTATATATACAGTAAAATAAAGGGTGTTTTAGAGCGGTGATCTGTTGGTAAACTCTTTGGGTTTGTTGGCATTCGTCACACGTGGAGTTGATCCAGTTATTCCGGCTATCGAGCTCGATTTGCTGGCTGATTGGATTTATGAGCAGCTCAGCGATGAAAATCAGAACATTCCTGCATTGGTATGATATTACTTCTCCGAGCAACTTTGAGATGCATTGAAATTTGTGCATAATGACGTTCAGTTCTTATGCTGTTAATTTATCAAGCAATGAATGTTAGCAAAGGGGTGGGGAGAGGGAGGGGAGATGAATGAAAGCAAACAAATACATGTACGTAAGTTGTAGTATGAATGAAAAGAAGGGAATTAAAAGATTTAAATAAGCACATGTGCATATATAAGTAAATATATGCATTGGCGGATCCAGCAGGGGGAGGGGGAACGATGGGCCTTTCATCCCCTCATACTAAAACAGAAGAAAACTTT